TGGTGTGTCACAGAATGTCCGAGTCCCACTATTTTAACCTCTCTGGGAGGACTGAGGCAGGGAGAATGATGCTGTTTAAACCCCGGAGAAGGGACCTGGAGCTTGCAGTGAGCACGATAGATAGATGTATACACACACGTCGTGCCCTCCTAGACTTACTGGCATGTCTCTTGAGGCAAGACATACCGACCTTGCAAAAAATAAGATGTTATACTTTATACTACTCACTTGAGAAATTATAATAAGTTTCTTAAAAAAACGAATCAGAACCAAGTACTAAGGTTAGGATACACTCGATGAAGAAGCACTCAACGAAAAACTTCAATAGCATTGTACACGAAGACCAGTTGTGAGAGTGCTGGATTACAGAGTGAAGCACAAAAAGAAAAGAGTGTTTCAAGGTGTGTTAAGACTCGCAAAGGGTTCCCCATGCATTTGATCAGCTGGGTCAAAGGCTGTTGAAAAGTTCCAGAAGGTATGGCCCAAAAAGTGAGTGATGAACGTGGTGTAGCTGATAGCGCGTCACTGGTGACAGTTACAGAGGGAGTGTGTGGTGTGTCAAGTGCGATATAGGCTGAGGAATCATCTGCATGGAGGTGAGAGGCTAAAGGACAGGGATACATGCAGATGCGCGAGCGCTGAGTGTTCGCACAATCGCCTGTTCAGACCTGTGCATACTACGGCTCAAAGTGTCCCTCTCTATGAGAAGTTGTCCTAATTCAGCGCAGTAGAAGGAATAATAAATGGGATAGCAGGGTCACAGAGTGTGTCGGTGTAAGGTGCCGTTAAACGAAATGGCGAGGATGTGGGATCGAAGAAAAGTCTGTATACTGTCTCGCCTTTTTTTATAAGCAAGCGCGAATAAGATAGTTAGCGTAGAAGGGGTTATGGGGTTCTCGAGATGTCCGAAAGTAAATATGAGTAGTGTATGCTCGGAGGTGTATTGCCTATGTATGAGTGTGAAAATTCAGATAAATTTACGTGGGCTGCTGGTCGATGGACCCTTACACCTGATATTAGAATAAGACCGAGGTTTTATAAAATCCTGACACGGTGAATGGGCTACCAGTCTAAATAGAACTCCTACATTAAAATGAGTCATCTTTGGTTGATCTCCTCTGGCCTTATGGTTTGATTTTAGGTGACCTCTATGTTAAGAGGTGGAAAAGCAGATTTAGCGTAGTTTAGTCTCTTTTTAGCCGATAGGAACAAAATTCTTGATTCTCTTTCCTCTTTTCCTGCATCACAAGTTCACTGAACTCTTTCTGCTATTCTAGCCAAAAGGTCTAGGTCCTTATTTGTTTATATATGTTGTTGCTTCTTCTTATTCATCTGCTTATTATTGTCTTTCAATTCTGTTCCAGAATCTCCCCCTATCGTTTTATTACATATGTCAATATCTGTTTTTTTCTCTTTCTTCTTCTCTTATTTTGTTCCTCGCTAATTCATCTCAAGACAGCCACAGAGTAAATCAGATCAGTTACTCCTCTGCTTAAACCATCACGGTTTATCTCAAATACACAAAACTCTTTCTGCAGCTTTCAAACTTCAACCACAGTTGTCCTCTGGTACTCCTGTCTTTCATCCCTTTATTTTATTTTATTTTATTTTATATTTGCCATAGTTATATGAAAAACCTTTTCATGCCATGAATGCTCCTTGGAATGTTCTATGGAAATGCTGGTATTTTGTTAGCTCTCATTCTAATTTCCCAAATATTCTAACATTGACGTTTATGTGTATCCATTCATATTGCGTGCCTAAGAGTTCTACTTTCTGCCATACATTCCTTTTTGCTACAGTCTAATTAAGGTCTGTGTCACAAGAAAATTATACAATGCTGTGAATTTAAGCAAGTCTTGGGGTCAGATTGGCTGGACTTAAATTCTCAGTCTAACCGAGTGATAAACTGTGGCTTGTGAAAAGTTAACTAAAAATCTCTGAACTGCAGTGTCCTTTTCTGTCAAAATTAATAATAATACCTATTCAGGCAAGCGCGGTGCTCATGCCTATGAATCCCAGCACTTGGGAGACACAAGGCAGGCAGATCACCAAGGTCAGACGGTGGAACCCCTCCTGGCTTAACACGGTGAAACCCTGTCTCTAATAAAAATACAAAAAATCACCGGGGTGTGGGTGGTGACGCTGCCTGTTAGTCCCAGCTACTCAGGGAGCTGAGGCAGGAGAATGGCCTGAATCAAGAGGTGGAGCTGCAGTGAAGCCGGAGATCCGCCACTGCACCCAGCCGGGCAAAGGCAAGACTCTGTCTTAAAAATAATAAAAAAATAAAAAAGGTAATACCTATCCATTAGGTTGTTATGGGATTGGAAAACAACAATACTATACAAGTGTTTCACCATGTAGTAGCATTCCATAAATAGACAGCTATTACTCTGTCATTATTGATCATTACTCCATAGGCAATAAAAAAGCAAAGTGAAAAATAATTTATATAGTTAAGAAATTTACCATTAAGAATTAATCAACTTGTGAATTCAATAAATGCAGAAATTTATTTGAACCAACCCAGTAATCTTCAATTTACTTTCATGCAGATTCATTCTAACTATGCTTTAAATGCTTTGAAACGCTAGATAGAGGTGCTAGGCATGGTGCTCACGCCTGTAACCCGACACTTTGGGAGGGCCGAGGTGGACAGATCACAAGGTCAGGAGATCGTTTGTCATTTCCTGGCTAATCACGTGAAAGCCCGGTCACTAGCTAAAAATACAAAACATTAGCTGGAGTGGTGGCGGCGCCTGTAGTCCAGTACTTGGGAGCCTGAGGCAGGGAAATGTCGTGTCTCTGTTGGCAATTTGGGAAGATACTTCTAAAAGGAGGAAGCTCTTCAGTAACTGAAAATGCAAATGTGTCAGTGCAGATATACTTGAGAAATTTGAACAAAGGTCTCCACTTTCAAAAAGCCGCTTTTATCATTTGGCAACACGATGCTTTACCAAGGCAATGCCAAATGAGAAAATGTGTTCTACAATGACTTATTATCATTTTTCCTGGAATAGCAGAAGAATTTTGTAGAATTCTATCTCCCATGAAATAATAGATTCTTTATTTAAACTATAACATAACGAAAAAAAAAATCCAGTTGTCTGATAAGTTGAAAAATCTGCCATGTTAAGCCAGGGTCTGCTGTGTGATCTCCTGAGTACAGAAGAGGTGTTCAGTTGCAAGGACTGAGGAGAACAGGTCTAACGACCTCCATGTCCACTCCAGCTCCACCCTGCTCCAGCCTAAGTCCCCTGAGTCCTCATTCAGGAAGGTATAAATGAGGTCACAGAGGGCACCTGTCCATACATGGCGGCTCACAGCCCCCAAACCAATGAAGAGGACAATGGGGCTGGGTGAAAATTATGTTTGTAAAGGGTTTCTTTTTAGTAGAAAATTCAAAATTATTACGTGGCGCTGTCGATGACCCTTTACACCTGTGATAGACGGAATGATGGCCACTCAGTCTCTTTTGTCCTCTGGCCTTCCGTATTCCAGGACCATGAGGGGAAGCATCAGGAGTCTTAGCAGCTGTCAATATTCAAGAGCCATGGAGGATTTAAGTAATAAAATGTGAAAAAGTAATGAATTATAAAATCTTTTATTAAATTTACCAAAATATATAAGAACGATATGAAGAACGCAGTATTTAGTTTCCCTAAGGACATAAGATAAAACCTAAATACATGGAGAAACATACGCTGTTGAATAAAAAGCTTCTGTCATAATGAGGCCAATACACCCTAAATTCATCTATAAATTTCCAGCAATTCCAGTCAGAATTACTATGAAATGTTGTTGTTGTTCTAGGGTGTGAGGTTTCATGTTGGGCCAGATAAGCTGCTTTCAAATTCTATACGGATAAATAAATATGAGTGATTGAAAAAGTATTTTCTGGAAAGTGGTACAGTGAATAGATATTTGGCATAGTAGATCTTAGTAAGTATCACAAAGCTACTGAGATAATATGATAACGATACAAGAATAATGAAACCAACAGATAAAACAGTAGTTCTCCAGAAAATGTGTCAAATATGTGTGCTCATTTAAAAAACTCTGCAGCATTTTTAAATTTTAAGGAAATGATGGATTGTTCAGAAACGGGCATTAGGAAAATAATTACCTGAGAAAATAAAAATATCACTCTACCTCATCCCAGATAACACAGGGTCCAAATAGATGAAAACTAAAATTACAAAGCTACACGTGGCCAGAAGGAACATGTAGGAGAATAATTGCATCCATCGAGTAAAAGGGCATGGGATGGAAATGGGGTAGGAGAAACTTAACACACTAATTTTTAAGAAGTAAGAATGTGGTCAATTTTCTATTTTATAGTATTTTCAAATAAATGTTTTTGAAAGAAGAATAGACAATGAGGACTTGCTAAAAAATTTAGAGAAGAAAGTGACATGATCACATTTGCACTTTAGGAAGATATATGTATGAGCAGAAAGCAAGGGTGCTGCCCGAGACAGCAATTTGTGTGAAGCAGATGGTTTTATAGTTGGTCGCCATAAGCCAATAAGAGGCAACAAGGACCTGGGTTGTTGCAGTGATCGTGGAGATGGACAGAGTGGCTGGAACAGTAAACATTAACAAGTTTACTCGAGTTTTCAAAATATTCTTATGAAATAAATTATTATCTCAGGAAGTTGGGAATGAAGAAAAAGACACTTCAAAATTGGAAAACCTAGGTTCAGATTCCAGTTCTTCCACTCCTGGTGATGTGCCCTTGGGCACAGACACATCTCAGAGCCTTGGCTTCCTCACCTTTTAAACGGAGAGGATTAGACCTAATTCCCAGGACTTCTGTATGATATTTATAATAGAGTTGGGGACATAGGAGGTGCTAAAAACTGACTAATTTTCTCTTATCATTTATGCAATAATTCAGACAGAGAGACTTCACTTTGTAAGGTAGAATGGAAACATCTTATTTCTGTGTCTTTTTATCTGAAAATTATAAGTTATTGTTACTTCAGACTGTCAGTTACCCTTGCACCTGTCATAGATGGGATGATGTCCACTCAATCCCTTTTCGTCCTCTGCTTTTCCTTCTTCCAGGACCATGTGGGGAAGTATCAGAAGTCTTAGAAGCTGTCTACATTTCAAGAGCCTTGAAAGATTTAAGTAATAAAATGTAAACAAGTAAGTAATGAATTATAACATCTTTTATTAAATTTACCCCCCCAAAAAAGAACTATGTGAAGACCATAATGTTCAGTTCTACTAAAGGCATAAAATGAAACCTAAATGAAGGTGTATAAAGATGAGCAATTTTGCTTCTAACCCTACGTTTTGGAACACACACAGCACCCCTCCCACATTTGTCATGTCTTGACATAATCAACTGAGGCAACTTAAATCCTGCTTCCAAGAAGATGGGTTATGAATGAATAAATATATAAATAACAAGTAAGTCAAGTGAGGTAAAGCACAGCTGGCACTGCGTTGCTTGGTTTTGCATCACTTTTTCAAGTTTGATGATAATAACTTTCATAGAGAACAGCTTCAACCAAATTTGTTAGATCATCAAAAGATATGAAGACATACCTCACATTTCATCAGACTATCTAAGCTAGTCTTTCCCACAACTTAATTCTTATAGTAATACTCCAAAGGAGATATAATCAACCACATTTCACAGATGAGAGAATTGGAATCCTAAAAAGGTTACACTTTTCAAGGTCATTTGACAAGTAAATAATGGAACCTGGATTTCAACTGAAGTCTAACAAATTCCAAACTCCTGGTTAACACCCATTTTTTATATATATATATAAAATATATATATGACGTATATAATCATGATGTAATCTTATAATCATAAATGTAATATACTAATATATACATATACCCACTAATTGCATATATTATGATACATAATGTATACATATAATACACATATCATATGTACACCATATATAATATATACATATAATGTATAATTATCTATTTAATAATAAATGTATAATATATAATTATAAATATTTGTAATATATTATAAATATGATATTGTAGATACAAATAAACAGTATCATATGTATAATCATATGTGCTCAGATTATATATGTTTAATATATATATTATTTTTATATATACTTTAAGTTCTAGGGTACAGGTGCCACAATGCTCAGGTTTGTTCCACTATGTATCATGTGCCATGTTGGTGTGCCGCACCCATTATACTCATCATTTACATTAGGTATCCCTCCCCACTGCTTCCCTCCCCCCTTCCCCCTTCCCCAAAATAGGGCCGTGGTGTGTGATGTTCCCCATTCCCCTATGTCCAAGTGATGCTTCGTTGCTCAATTCCCACCTATGAGTGGGAGAACATGGCCACTGTTTGTTTTCTGTTACTTGTGACAGTTGCTGAGAGATGGGGACGCGCTGCAACCCTGAAGAGGTCCCATACAGAATGCACACAACCTATATATATATTGAAGGGGGCAGGAATAATTCCAGGGAGTGTATATGGAATGCCACATTTTCTTAATCCAGTCTGTCACTGAGGGACATTTGGGTTGGTTCCAAGTCTTTGCTATTGTGAATAGTGCTGCAGTAAACATACAGTGCATGTGTCTTTATAGTAGCATGATTTATAATCCTTTAGGTATATGCCCAGAAATACCATTTGAACCAGCATTACTGGGCATGCTGGGACCCAGTAATGCTGGTTCAAATGGTATTTCTAGTTCTAGATCCTTGAGGAATTGCCACACTGTCTTCCACAATGGTTGAACTAGTTTACAGTCTCACCAACAGTGTAAAAGTATTCCTATTTCTCCACGTGGTCTCCAGCACCTGTTGTTTCCTGACTTTTTACTGATTGCCATTCTAACTGCCGTGAGATGGTATCTCATTGTGGTTTTGATTTGCATTTCTCTGATGGCGAGTGATGATGAGCATTTTTTCATGTGACTGTTGGCTATATAAATGTCTTCTTTTGAGAAATGTCTGTTCATATCCTTTGCCCACTTTTTGATGGGGTTGTTCACTTTTTTCTTGTAAATTTGTTTGAGTTCTTTGTAGGTTCTGGATATTAGCCTTTTGTCAGATGAGTAGATTGCAACAATTTTCTCCCATTTCTGTAGGTTGCCTGTTCACTCTGATGGTAGTTTCTTTTGCTGTGCAGAAGCTCTTTAGCTTAATTAGATTTCATTTGTCAAGTTTGCCTTTTTTTGCCATTGCTTTTGGTGCTTTACACATGAAGTCCTTGCCCATGCCTATGTCCTGAATGGTATTGCATAGGTTTTCTTCTAGGGTTTTTATGGTTTTATGTCTAACATTTAAGTCTCTAATCCATCTTGAATTAATTTTCATATAAGGAGTAAGGAAAGGATCCAGTTTCAGCTTTCTACATATGGCTAGCCAATTTTCCCAGCACTATTTATTAAATAGGGAATCCTTTCCCCATTTCTTGTTTTTGTCAGGTTTGTTAAAGATCAGATGGCTGAGGTGTGTGGTATTATTTCTGAGGGCTCTGTTCTGTTCCATTGGTCTATATCTCTGTTAGGGTGCCAATACCATGTTGTTTTGGTTAATGTCGCCTTGTAGTATAGTTTGAAGTCAGGTAGCATGATGCCTCCAGCTTTGTTCTTTTGGTTTAGGATTGTCTTGGCAATGTGGGCTCTTTTTTGGTTCCATATGTACTTTAAAGCAGTTTTTTTTCCCAATTCTGTGAAAAAAGTCATTGGTAGCTTAATGGGGATGGCTGAATCTATAAATTACCTTGGGCAGTATGGCCATTTTCATGATATTTATTCTTCCTATCCATGAGCATGGTATGTTCCTCCATTTGTTTGTGTCCTCTTTTATTTCACTGAGCAGTGGTTTGTAGTTCTCCTTGAAGAGGTCCTTTACATCCCTTGTAAGTTGGATTCCTAGGTATTCTATTCTCTTTGAAGCAATTGTGAATGGGAGTTCATTCATGATTTGGCTCTCTGTCTGTTATTGGTGTATAGGGATGCTTGTGATTTTTGCACATTGATTTTGTATCCTGAGACTTTGCTGAAGTTGCTTAAAGTATAAGCTATAAAGTATAAGAGACCATGAAGATAATTTCAGAAAGATTTCAGAAACTCAAGGGTCACTCTCAGATACCAGAAAACAAATAGCCTGTTGAATTGTATTATTTCAGTTAATTATGGTGGATCTCAAAAAGCAGTAGAAATTTCCTCTATCACTCATAATAGTTGATGGCCTTTTATTAAAAGACTAAATTTTAAGGTCATAAGAGATATTATTGATCCACTAAATGATAGCAAATACCTTCTGAGTCTCAAACATTATACGTATTTATTCTTTTCTTGCTAGCAGGAAGTAGGTGTTACTTTTCCCCATTATTCAGACGAAATTGAAGCTTACAGAGGTTAAATAACTCCTCAAGATCACCTAGCTAATAAAGACCACACCAAGAGTTTGAATCAAACAGACCAGTCCCCAGAGCCTGTGCCATATGGGAACTGCTTGGCTGTTTATAATTCAGGGATTAATTTATGTCTTCATGAAGCGGCTGCATTTTAATACAAAATATGATGTTCTATTTCCTAATGGTTTTCAACTCTCAGCTTCATGCTTTAAAAGTAGTGTTTTGAATGCATTTAGTTATTTGTACTAACATGTAGCACCCCTTCCTCGCCATTTGAGGTATATCATACGTGTTATATTCCCCAATATTAGACTCCAATAACTGGCGTATATTAACAGTAAAGTCTTAGTATAACGAATGGAAAGGGCCCCAAACGCAAGGCAGGTTCCAATTGCATGCCTTCTGTGCTTGACAGTTTTAGGCAAGAGACTTCTACTTGCAGGGTTGTCATTTCCCCCGCCTCAAAATCAGAGGAGTGGGTGATCTTTTTGATCTCTTCCAGTTCCAACTGTGATTGTGAATTCAAATGATAAACTGGTTATTGAAACAATAGGTGTGGTGAAATGAAAAATGGAAGCTTCCTGTTTTTATTTTGATCCAATAATAAGGCATGTTGTTTGCTTCCTCTTGACTCAGCACTGTTCTAGGAAAAATCTATTCTACATAGATTCCTTAACAAAAACACATTGATTCCTAAAGGTCTTCTGAATGTTTGGATAGCCAATGGCTTTGCAGCCCAGCTTGGCCACTACATGATGCCCATGACTCCAACAAACTTATTTCAGGCCAGTGTAAATGCAATGTTCAAAAATCCCACCTAAGAAGGATGGGAACACTGAGGTTTGAGTAGGTAACATGCAGGTGTGTGCACACGTCCCCAAGAATGCACACACACATACATGGACATAACTGCAATCGATACAAAACACTGAACTGTGCTGATTCTTACAGGTACTTGGTTCTGGCCCAGTCTGGAAAAGCAAAAAGACCGTAAGTCAATCTACACATGCATACAAAATAGAATTCCCACCATGTTTCGATGTTATCTATTTATAATTTTCAATGTTTTAATGTTTTGTGGTCTTAAAAAATACAGGAATTATTATCATTGTACCTAATGTGCCTTGATTCTAAAGGACATGGTAATTGCCTGTGGTTTGGAAAATGTTTGGGCTAAAAGACAAGTTCTCCTCTTCTCATTTTTATATCACAGAGCTGTGCAGGGGCTTGGATCAGTGCCTGAATCCAGTGTTTCTGAGTGCAGAGCATCTTTGCTCTGGGTGAGCTTTGACCATCCTGGAGAAGAAGGCTGCTGCAGGGGTGGGACAAAGCCAAGACCAATGGCCAGCGGCCAAGGCCAGTCAGATGGCTGTGTGCTGGCAGCCAGCATACACGGATTTTACCTGAAGGAAAATGTCACGTTTTCCACAGACAACTGAAGAAAAAGAGCTCTTTGGATTACCCTAATCGTTATTTACTCGTTGGAACCACTGTTTGTGATGGATGGGTTTTTCATTGTCCAAAATTAAGTCTCAAAGCATAAACATGAGGCTTCAATGAGTTATCCTGAAATCGGTGCTTGATATTCTGTCATATTTCTCAGTGCCTCGTACATTATCACCATTAATCCTTGTCAGTTATATGTAGTTTTACACGTTTGTTTTTTTTATTTTACTCTTTTCTCTCCTTCATTCCCTAC